TGTGTGTGTGTGTGTGTATATATATATATATATATATTTACCTGACTGGTTGAATTATTCAGTTCAGTGAGATTTATTGTGTATATTTATTTGCAGTTCAGTTAGTGAGTTAGCCAGCATGTTTGTTATGGATTGGTTAATGAGGAAATTCTTCTAATCAGTTTATAAGTAAGTTAGAGGTACATTAGTTTTCGAGTTTGTGTTGAGATATTGTTTGTGAAGTTAGGCATACCAGTGGACATAGTTTGCATCAAATGTTATTGAAGAAATAAGTTAATAAACTGTTTAATAACTTTCCCTTAAAATTTAAATGGTTGATAACTTGTCTGCCTTATTACATCTTGAGATGGAAAAGGAAAGTGATAAGCTAATGGTCTAAACTGAAACAGAGAGTATTTGGCAAACCACTGTAGTATGTATAATATATCTATCATCCTGTGACATTTATGGTTGAACATTTGGAACATAATTAGTGGTTATATAAATATTTAAAACTTGTATTAGTAAATTGGTATTTCTGGTATCTTAGGCTTTCATTTTCTCTTAAGTGATGTTAATTTTGCATCTCTTTTTACAATAGGACATTTATCTTTCTTTTGTGATTAGCTACACTTTTTACTTTTCTGTATTTGTTTGACTTAATAGTTTCATGTTTTTCTTTAAACTGATGTATTAGAAATTTTGTAATAATTCAATTTTTTGCATCTTTCCAGCAGAATAACAGTTTCTTGAAATATTTTAAATACAAATATATTTAATATAAATGATAATGTAAATGGCTAAATGCATTTAGGATTTCTACATAGTCTTTCAAAGTGTCATTGAAGACAGAAGTTTTTATGTGAAACATACGTAAAGTCATATTTTGACTCATCACTATGTTTTTGATCTTAGGTTGTCAATACATACGAAATGATAGAGATGACTGTAGCATCATAAAGGAAGCTAAACGAATGGCATTTGATCTAAATGGTGTTTGGAGAGTGACTCACATCAACAGGAATTTTAGGTATGTTGTTTTTAAGAGTACAATGCAAGTCTTACGAATTTATCAGCACTGATATTGAGGTTTCATATTGTTTTTATTGTAATCTGTGGCAATATCCGTGCAGATTGCAAGTCTAGTGCCCTCACCACTAGGCCATGTCTGACCTAGTCTCATAATTACAAACAATAATAGTAATAAAAAAATAATTTGTACCTAGTTGTGCAAGTGATTATTGGTTCTAGATTTAACTTCTGCTTCAGTAGTTCAGTTTGTTTCCTGTCTTTATTTTTGAATAAAGGTTTGTCCTTTTCTGCCCTTTGTTGTTATTGAGTTCTTTCATATACAGCCAATCTTTTGTATCACAATCCTCTTCTACTAGCTTCTCTGGTGACTTCCTGCTACAATCTTTCATATTGGAACATGGCTTTCATCTATCATCCCTTTTAATGTTTAGCCTTTTGTTCTTTCATAGAACTTTATACTAAGGTCTATTTTACTTTTTTTAGCATTGGATCATATTTTTAAGACATTGAGATGACCAAAAATTCTCTTAACTTGTTCCCTCCAAATCAATTGTTCTTCTATATCCATTTTTTTCCCCCCAAAATACAAGAGAAGAAAGGGATTGGATGTTTCATCTATCATATTTACATCTTTCACTGTGACTAAGACATTTGGACTCAGGTCAGCTTTTCTGCTGGTTTGATGTTATTTAGCTCATAACATTTACTTTTGATGTTTTCACCTGCTCTCACCTTGTATTGTTAGACATTTGTATAGTTTTTTGAACTACAATCATAAATTGACTTAAGAGACTTCTCAACTGGGACTAATCCTATTTGTATCAGAAGGAATGGGATATTTTCTTAATCACCTCTTGTCACATTCAACTTTCAACACTGTGTCCATTGCTCCTGCTGTTCATTGTTACATAAAGGATGTTATACAGGTGGTTTCATAATCACTCTCACCATATTAACATTCTTTTACTTACATTATGTTACCAATTTCTCATTTGGCTTCCTGGAATTGTCTAAATTTGACTTCAGAATTCTCATAACATTTGCATAACCTACCTCTGAGATTGGGTTCGCTTCGCTGGAACCATTTCATGCAGCTCATAAGTCAACTTCACCTTTCTGGAATGGAGAGTGTTCATTATGGTAAGTATAATTTAAATTCCTTACACCATCCTTTTTTATTTTTATGGTGTACTGACTCTTGCCTTGAGATCTTGTTTTCTAGGTACACCCCACTTCTTCCCCACTCAGTTGAATTTCTGTGTACCCTTTCCCTTTTAGAATATAAAACACCTGCTGGATTTGTCAGAGATCAGTATGAACCAGCCATACCACTTCTTTCTTTCCCTGTTAACCCTTTCAAGATGGGTCACAGGTGAAAGGCCGTGTCATTACGTTTGTTGACTTGCATTCAAAATTTTATTGAACTACTATTTCATGATTTTTATGTCAATAAGTTTGGTATCAAACTGTAGATTATAATTCAAATTTTAGAACAATACTCAATTTGTTAATTTAAAAGTAAATATTAAAAAAACACAAACATCAATTTTTGTGTGTGTGTGTGTGTGTCACGTAGCATGTTGAATGCAGCACTGGTTCAAATTAGATGTTCGTGAAGTCAAAATACTAAGTCTGTTGTTTCATAAAAATTAGAAACTCCAATTACAGATATTGACAAGCTAGAATATAGAAAAAGAAGGTTTTATCTTTTCTGTTTGCCAAGATATTGCTCATTTAACAAATCAAATGCAGTGGCACTTCACCCACCTCTTTCCATTTTTGGAACTGCTCCCTTATATACACTTACTTCTATATATATGACATGAATAACCAATTGGAAGCTCAGAATGTCCCCTAGTGGTTTTCTCGGCCTTTTTAATGTTCCTTCCACCATTTCTTTCTTTTGAATCAAGATTTTAATGAAGTATGTTGTGTCTTTAGTCTGCTCAAAATTTCATATTTCTTTAGAGTAAAATAAATACATCTTAGTTACTAAGCTTGATAAATTATAGTTGAATTCTATGGTATTGAGGTAGTAATTTATGATTTTTTTAGTTATTCAAATGTATATATATAAAACCTAACAAAAAATATATTGTTTCATATCCTCCACGTGCAAAATTTTTAAAGGCTTAGCAACCTATGTCAAGCAGCAACCGAGTACAAATGTCGTAATTAGAAGAGATAACTGTTTGCTTTACTTCATTTACTGTCCTGTGTTTTAGGAAAAATAATTTTAAAAATAATCTATATACATATATAATGTATAATAATTAAAATGTGACTGTATCTTGCAAAATAATAGTCAACTAAAACACAGCCAAAACAAGTTACTTTGTACAGATCAAAGGTCACCTCTATGTTATTTGATACGGTAACATGAGTGCATGAGAGCCAGGCACGGGTGAAAGATCAATATATTAAAAATAATAAATATACTTAAATGTATAATGTTATGAGATTTAAGGTACTTCATCTAAACATTTATGTTTTTGTGTTATAATTTGTGTTCATTATAGAATGAAAGAGGCATAATTTATGTTTATTTCCTAATTTTTTATGATGTTTACGAGATTGGTCAAATCTACCGAACCCATACAGATTAATAACTGAAAATAACAGATAAAATATAAAGCTTTTTCTTTAGAAATGTTTGATAACTATCTAGACACTATAAAGATTTTGCATGTGAAATTTCAAAATTTTCTGATGCATAAAAGTATTTTTAATTGTAAAGTAAAAATTACTTTGCATGATAGATAGGGAAGATGTGAAAAAAAAAGGACATGAAAGAAACATTGCATTACAAACCTTAAGACTTGATAAAAAAAATTAGATATTTTGCATATGAAAGCATTGTAACGTTTACTGATAATCTGCTAAGTTTTGTTAACATTAGCTTACTAATTTAAACGATATAGCATGAAAACTATAACTAGTACAAAATAGGTATGAGGTTGGTCCCAGGGACCGAGCCTGGGCTGAAAGAGTTAAGGTCTACAGAGACCTAGAACTTTTAATTAAATATTCCCAGTACAGTTTTTGGTTACCGACTTTTAAGGTAGGAATGTTTACTACCTGTTCACACAGCAGTGTTATATTACATATTTGACATTACATTATTAAAATCAAAATGGGTTTCAAATAGATATCAGAAGCTTGACATGTTCCATCCCTCCTGCTCACCATCTTATCACAATAAGAAGTACTTTTCAGGAAGGAGCAAGATGGAAGAAGTCATTTGAAAGATGCTAAACTTTAAGTACACTTATTTTAGTGAATGGAAGTCACATAATATTGAAAATCTATTGAGAAGGAATGTTGATTAATTTTGTCACAATTTGACCTAAACAGAGTAACACTTCAACGTAAATTGAATTTTTCCGTCATTAGTTTCTGGGTCCTTTCATTTTTCCCAATCTCGCAGGTATTTACCTCTCCTACACTTTACCTGTGGATGTGTTTTTTCCAGATTTGTTGTCTGCCATGGCAGGTTGCCCTCTCAGATTGGGATATTAATGTGGTGCTGCACTGCCTCACTTTGTCTACATTTGAACCACTCTTTTTATGCCCCTTATTTCACTTACCCTTATGTTTTTCTTCCTTCTACTATTTGGCTGTGGACATCAGTGGTCTGTTTATTTGCTATTGATGTTTCTTGTACTCTTTGTCCTTTTACATATCTTCTCCTTTCTCCAGATTGTTTTTCCTCCATAACACTTCAGTGACTCGTGAGGGTAACTCCTCCATTTAGCAGCTTTCTCTTCCTTCCTTTCACACATTTATTCTCTTCCTGATCAGGATATACTTCTCTGTCCTGTACGTACTCTTCTCTGTTATAGTGCCTGCACGGTTTCCTTCTGTGGTGTTTATGTTCCCGCCTCTTTCTTCCTCAGCAAACTCCCTCTCTTTGTGTTCTTTCTCTTTCCTCCTTTCTTTATTGGGTTCGGCTCTTCATTCAATTGGCTTCTACCTCTTTATCAGTACTTTTGACACCTTACCTTTTCACTGGCATTTTATCTTTTTGTCCTTTGGAGGTACTTCTTCAATCTGTTATGTGGCCTATCCATGATATGTTCGTCTCTCATTATTTGCATTGGATCAGAGTTTTCTTCCTCTTCAGTTTATCGTCTTCCATCTGTAGCCTTTCTAGAATATCAGAATTCAGTGAGACCTTGGGTAAGTTTTTCTTCTTATTATTTTCCCTTTTATTAATGCTCAGTGTTTGGATCCAGTTCTATGGCGAGTGATGTCTGACCAGGTATTCTTTAACCCTCTCTCTCCCCAGGTACTCTTTACTACGCATGACACAAGATTTTAGTGTTTTCCATTCAAAATTTTATTAAAGTATTTTTTGTTTATGTTATACCAATTAGAATAAAATAAAATCTCAGCTAATAATCCATATTTTGATAGTATACAAGTTTTAAGTTCTTAATTTTACAAGGAAATATATAAAAAATCCACTAGTGTGACCCACATAACACATTTTGTCTTA